GCTATATATCAATGTACATCTGTGCCAAATTTGGTGCTTGTATCACAAAATGCACAATCCTTTTAAATTTTTGGGCTAAACGGCCCCACTATAGGCCTAGGCGACGCCTAGGCCTTATCGAAACGAAGCGCGTCGCGTCTAGTGAGGCCTAGGCCTAGCGCAATCAGAGAACTGGCCAAGGTTGCATTTGTAAACAATGCCTCTACAATTCTATTCTCTTCTGGTCTACAGAAAAGGTTACACATGTTGCTGAAAACAGGACAACAGATGTTAGAATTGAATTCTAGATCTAGGCTAAGTTATAAAATAATGTCGATCTAGCATAAAACCAAAACATGTCTTGATAATGTAGATCTAGATCTAGACCGAAAACTAGATCCAGAATCTAAATCTACATCTAGATTATCTAGATCTAGATCTAGATTCTAGAGATCTATAATTATCTTGTCGACAGTGTCAGTAGTTACATAAGAAAAAAAGTCATCTAGACTCTAGATCTAGATTCTAGATCTATAGGTTTCCAGCATAATAAAAACATGCCTGCCTTAGCCTAAATACACGCGTTGATCTAGATATCTAGCTTACAACATAAGCAGTTTAATTTAAGATAGCCTAATAAAGGTTAATACATTTTTACTTATTTTACTAATTAATTACGTAGCCCTGCATGGGGTCTGTGGGTAGGGAAGAGTTGGAGAGGAAAGAAAGAGAGCATGCAATAGCATATAGATCTAGATCTATATGCCTATAGGCAATGGTGAGAAAAGGCAACAGACTGAAGAAATAGAAAACAGATTTCGTTTTGTGTAGCCTAGGCTAGGCATATATGGATAAAAACAGGAATACAAAGCGACAGATCGAACTCACCAGAGGCCTATATATATATATATATATATATATATGTGTGTGTGTGTGTGTGTGTGTGTGTGTGTGTGTGTGTGTGTGTGTGTGTGTGTGTGTGTGTGTGTGTGTGTATACATAAACATGTATAATGCATCTTTCATGGATTAATAGCATTTTACTGAAACTGGCTCTTACAATTAAGTGGGTAAATGTGACAGTCTTTCTTAGACTGTTTTGCTGTATGCATTGTCTCTTGCTGATTCTTTTGTATATTATGTCCATACTTCTCTGTCAGGCACATAAATTTGGGACATTGCAAAATTCAAGGGTGGTCCTCACAGGGTCAAGCTAGCACTTCCTTACTTAATGATAATTAAGTAAGCTTTGTAATTTCTTTGTCTCTTTAATTTTGTCACATGTATTCCGTAGTACATTTATTACAGCAGGACATTCTCTTCTTAGATGTCAAGGTTGTTTTTTTCTTCCACTTTTAATTTCTTCTTCAAAACTCTCACATCACATTGCAGACACTATTAGATCTTTTGTCATGGACAGGACCTGTATCCTTTGGAACAGGCCTGGAGGGAACAATAATTATTTATTTTGGAGGGTTTTGAACAGTAAACAGCATGGCCACAGCATTCTGCACTATAATTGTTCATGATGCAGATTTCCAAAGGCAGTACGCACAGTTCAAATTGCTCAGCGCACAATGCATTCCCATGGTACACGTATAGGTGACTTATGCTATTTTAAGAACCAAAGTCAGCCTTCCAATAATTCATAACCCATCTTTTTAAACATCAAAAATAAATTATAATTTTTTGGTAGGAGTGCGAAAAACTTAGATTGTAACACAGAGTTTTTACAGCAGACCTATACAAAAGACCGGTGCTCACAATAAATAATACAT